AGAACAGCCAGAGGCCTAAATGGAAGAGGGCATGCCTTGCTCATTTTGCGCCCAGAAGAATTGGGTTTCCTTCGTTACTTGAAGCAATCCAAGGTAAAGATCTTGGCTTGGAAATAAGTTGAGAATCCTTGGTAGGGACTACTTGCCCATGCAGAAGCCCTTCGGTGCCATTTCTAGCAGTGTCACAGAGTGTAGCTTAATGCAGCGTTATTGAAACCATTGTTAGTGAGAAGGGATGTGGTGCTGGCCAAAGTGGGGTGGACACAAAAAGCATCCTCATGGCTCAGGCTCAGACTCCATTACACGGCAGGGCCTCCTGTGTACCTGGACTCTCCTCCCACTCCTTACAGCCTGCTCTGGAGCCTTGTCCACTCCCTTCAGGCTCCTGTCCCACCCCTACCCCTACTCTTCTCTGCATCTCTTCATTCTACCTTCTTTTCTTCCTATATCTGCTGAAGTGGGGATCCCCATTCACTCCTGTCTTTTCCTCTTCTATCCCTTAATTCCCCAATCTCCATGTTTTACCTTGAATCTGCTATTCACTGTCAGCACTTGACCATCTCAAGGTCTCGCTTTAAAAGGCTAACTTCAACCCTAAACCCATTGCCCCACCCCTGCCTCTAGTATGCCTACTGCCTGTGGCTTTTTCTAAGTCTGTCCTTTTGAAAAAGAGCTTCAACTGACTCATAAAGTGACATTCTCTTTACAATCATTTGTCACCTTTTTGTTCCGAAATCTTACCAACATTTGTCAGGTATTCAGTTTTCTTCTCTGCTCTTAGCCTCCCTGACACAGCCTAGCCAGGTAGATGGTCCTCTGCCTAGAAACTACGTGCTGCTCCCTGGAATTACCCTGTGACTTTGCACATAATCTCCTTTTTGGCCCTTTTCCTGGTTGTCTTGAAATCAGGGCACTGGCTCTAAGGAAAGCCTCCCTCCCACATGTTTCTGGGGGCAGATCTTGGCTCCACTTCTCAGTCCAGCATTCATCCATTTCTTCACATGGCATTCATGCCCCCCAGGGTTCAAACTCAACAGCCGCTCCTCGGAAACCCTATACAGGGTCACAGTGGGTTGGAACCATTCAATGGTTCTGAACAACTACCCACCCCACCTCCAGTATATGCTTATTTGTCTTTATAACTCCAGAATGATTCCGTTTAAGCAGAATATGGATGCTAGAAATCCTTATTTAGGAAAAGTGCTTTACTGACTCATTGTTGTTAAGTGCCATCGAGGTGGTTCCAACTCATAGCGATGCTGTGTAGGGTTCTGAGGAGTGCCTGGTGAGCTTGAACCACCGACCTTGCAGTCCAGCACATTAACCTGCAGCACCATCTCTCCCCAATTCCTTGCCTCTCCTCTCAGAAGAGTGAACTGTATGTTCCCTAGCATCATTTGTGTGGACCGCCGGAATGCTGGGAGACTAGAGGGAGCAGGTTCTAAGGACTGCCCATGGAAAGCCCTTCCCAGCCGTCAGTACATGCGAGCTGCATTGAAACTTCCACTGCCCAGGCTTTACTGTCTGCAGCTGTTACATTTGTCTAGAAACGGGGTGTTGATCACTCTGGTTCACTAATCCTTTATTTTTGTTTTCTAGGTTCCACTAAGTGAATTTGAGTTTTCCTGGTCCAAAATTTCTGATATTCAGTCTCAGGTGTGTTTCATTCCCCCCTAGCATTTATAAATGGTCACTTCGCCCATGATCAGTGAACTTTAGCGTTGTTGTTACTGTGGCATGGTTTTGCGAAATGCTCCACAGCATGGAGCAGGTGCACTGGAAAGACTGTTTTCTGTGGGATGCTTTGTTTTATGATATGTGAAATCTGCAAGTTTGGGGCAAATGATAAGTTTTTGTTAAAACCAATGGTTTTTTTTTTCCATTTCAGCTTGAAAAACTGATTGAAAAGAACTACTTCCTTCATAAGTCAGCCCAAGAAGCCTATAAATCATATATTAGAGCATATGATTCACATTCTC